CATGCACACACACCAAGCATGATTCTCAAGCTGCCAGGTCTGGGACTCAAACCACAAAGCTGGCTATGAGGGGTCCAGCTCCATGTCCCCCACTGGCCTGAGATTAACAGCTTAATTGGTAGATGGAGTAAAGCAGATTGCCCCCCCCCCAATCTGGGTGGGCCTTATCCAATTAGATAAGGAAAAAAAGAAAAAAAAAATGGTGAGCTTTCACCAAGTAAGAGAAAGTCCTCCCCCTGACTGTCTTCCACCTGGAGCGCTGGCCTATTTCCTGCTGTGGCCTCTGCCTAGACTGCACCACGGGCCCTCCTGAGTTTCCGACCTGCTCATTCACCGCGGAACACGGTGCTCCGTACCTGTGCGAACCAGCTCCTCATGTACATCTTTCTGCTGTTGAGTTAAAGTTGTTCTTCACATACTCAAGATAGGGCATCCTCACCAGGTATAGGACTTGCAAATATATATATATATTTTTGAGAGTTTTTTTGCTATAGGGCACGTACGCAGTGGGCCACAGATTAGCCCTGGACCTAGAGGCTTGACTCACCCCAGCGCGTATGTTTGAGTGCCCAAAATCCAAGAGGGGAATGGAGGAAAAGGGATTATGGTGTGGACATCACCCCTGGGAGGATGATTGCTCGCTTTCTGTCTCTCTGTCTCTCTGTCTCCAGTGAGCGCACACTCCCTACAGCAAAATTCTCTCTAGGAAATAAATAAATAAGAGTTGCCAGAAGTAAAAACAAGCAAGTGAATTTGGGTGGCGAGTGGGAGCAAAGAAGGCTTCCCAGGGGCAGCCTCATTTAGGCTGAGACCCGAGGCCCGTGTAGCAGTAGCCCAGCAGGGAGGGTGCAGTGGACAGGGTGAAAGGAACAGTCTGTGCAAGGGCCCAGAGGAGAGAGCAGACTGCAGTGTGGAGGAGCAGAGGCTCCCATCAGAGCAGAGAGCAGGGGGCGAGTGCAGAGTTGGGGCGAAGTGGAGTGAGGAGAGGGGACGCAGGTGGAGTAGCGAGAAAGGAGAAAGGTGAGGTTGGAAGCGGCCAGGCACAAAGGGCCTTGTAGGCTGGTAGGGAGTTGGGGGCCCTCTGAGCAGGAGAAAGGAAGCGCAGGGCAGGGAAAGGTTGATGAACGAGCGAGCGCAGTTGCTATCTGCGGCCCAGGAGGATGTAAGGGAGGCCAGAGAAGATGGGGCCTCTGACTCCAGCTTCCTGCTCTTTGCAGTTTAAATTCTGGCTCTGTCCCCCACCTCCCACCCTAGGTGCAGAGGGGGCTCATGCAAATCTACTGAAGCATCCTCTTCTGGAGCGCGTGACAGGGATAAGGAGGAGCCTCCCAATCAAATGACACAACCACAGCAGCCTGCCCAGAGCCCGCAAATCGGACCCCCAAAATTTCCAGATGCAGACTCCTCTCCGACCACTTCCCACAATGACTGCCCTGAGAAGGCACAGCTGGGACATCAGGGGAGGCTCTTTTGTGACAGTTTGGGTCCAGGCTGGTCACCAGGGCCCTCCTCTGGCTGGACCAACACATGAGGACAAAGTGGGCAGAGAGCACCAGGCACCTGTCCTACCTCTGGGCTGGCTCTTGTAAACAGCCTCCCAATTTCTAAATAAACCAGAACATGGATTCACCCAGCTTGTGAAAGGCACGGAACTCCCATATGGCAGACCATGGTTCAAGTCTGGACTGGA